GTTTGTAAACCTGGGTGGCAAGGTCGAGAGACTGGTTCTTGTCAGGAATTGGGAAAGATTCTGCTACTTCACTATCGTAGCAATTGCCTAGATGGTTTGGGAGTTTTGTACAAACCTGAGATCACTACTGAAGATCACATCCTAGTGAGAGATAAGCAAGTTGAATTTACTGCTGATCGGATCAATACTTTTTATGGTTTGAGGGGTATATTTTTCAATGAATACACTGCATGTGTGATAACTGATTCATCACTGGATGAAAGGGATTGCATTTTTTACTGATGGAAGAGGGGAATGGAAGATTAAGAATAACAAGATAGTTACCTTCCCTACTTCCATGTTCACTATTAAGTCAAAAGTATAGCACCAATTCATTTCTTCCAGACTGTTACCAACAAATCATTGGCTAATGTTACTAAAGATAGAGTTATACTCAACTATTGCAGTCAGAACATGAAGGCAATAAATGTGGGTGTACTTAAAATTCAACATACTCGAAGTATAGTTGGTAGTTCTACAACTAGAGGATTGGAATACCCTACCTTAATTTTCACTATATGCGAACAATTAGGAATAGAATCTCATAGAAATAAAGAAAGATTGCAGCCACAGAATCCGATTGGGAGACATATGATTCATAGAGTACAGTCATTTGTTGAGTCTAGAAGTGGAAGAAGGGATAGACCCTCTACATTTGCTACAGGTACATCTACTTCTAGATATGTATCTCTTGAAGGTATTATGAACCAAATGATGATTCAATAGAAGGATATAGTAAATATTTAAACTCAGTTGGGAGAGATAGGAGCAAGGAATATAAATGATGAATATCAACAGAGGAGAGTTCACCATGATATTGAGTTTGAAAATGCCATGGTAAGACACCTTAGGGGTGAACTTAATGTGGACTTTCCTGCTTGCCCCTGTTTCAGTCCCTATACTCCAACTCATGATGATGAAGAAGAAGAAGAAGAAGAAGAAGAATAATAATAAGAAGAAGAATCAGATGATGAAGAGGAAGGAGATAAAGATTGATGTTTTATGAGTCTTGTTTAGTTGTTTTGATGTTTGTTTGTTATTTATGTTTGTATTAGGATGTAATTTCATTTGAAACTTTTTGTAGTAAAATACTTTTGATGTTGTGTTGTGAATTGAATCTGTAATAGTAATTGTAGACTTTACTTTTTCAGCATTTTTAGTATTTTCAGTTTAGTTTGTTAGTTTAGTTTTTCAGTTTTTGTATTTATGTTGTTAATTCTCAACAAGTTCTCTAGAATATATTATGTTTTATTTAATGTTTTAAAGTCTGTATGTAGTTTTACAGTTAGTACACGTAGTATTCCAGAGCTCAGGTTCATATTCAGAAATATTCTACAGGTCAGTTTTTATTTCATGTATTTACTTTTTTCTTTCACCTATTAAATTTTAATATTATTTAAGTCACTTAAAAACTTAAGTTTGGGGGAAAGATAAATTTATTTTGAAAAGGAGTAAACTAAATTTTATTTGTCCTTAAGTAACTATATTCTTAAAAATTAATTTAACATGACCTAGAATATTAAGATTTAACTTTAAATAAATATACTCCTTTTTCTAAGTATTGTGGTAAATTTAGGTAAAGATTTTTTAATAATGAAGGTCAATTCTAAAGTTTAAGATATATGGTATGATATGATAAGACTATGTTTTTCTATTTAAAGTAAAGGAAATTGTATTTTTGAAGTGTTAAAAATTTTAGAGTTTCATGTAAGAAGAAAAGAATGAGATTTTATGAAAAAATCATAAACTAATATGAATTGATAAAGTGAAGAGAGGTATGAAGTTTCAACTTTAAGAAGAGGATGATGAAGTTCAAAATCATTAAAAGCTATCCAGATATAGTAATCCTCATATGGAAAAATAAAATAAAAGAAATGATTGAAAATATTCTAAAAGAAAAAAAAAAGAGAAAAGAGAAAAAAAGAAAAGAAAAATAAGTGAGGAGAAGCTTTAGGAGATGCCTAATCATAAGTTGGCTTAACTTGGACCAACTAAAGGAATGAGCCTTATTACATTTTCTAAACTTATATTGGAGTATTAATAGCATTCCTAGTAAAACTTTCATGAAGTTCTTTTTCATATGACGGTTCTAAATGTCCTTAATATGACAATTTGCAATTCTTCTTGAAATGAATCGAGATTCAGAAATCTTAATTTGATTACTAAGTATTCCTAGACTTAGAACTTGAATCTAAAGTTATTAAAAGCTTTTTCTTAAATTTTGAAATTCTATTTATTAAACTAAAGTATAGAAGTTATAAGTTAATCTTTATCCTAAGCCATATGCTTTTATGTGATAAAAGTGTCACTTGAGGACAACTAATATTTAAGTTTGGGGAATTTTGATACACCAAAATAATATATTATTTTTAAGTACCTATTTTATGCTTATTTTTTGTGATATTAAATTTTAAAGAAGGGTATTTTTGTGTTTTTGTTGCAAGTATTTTAATTTTAGGCATTTGGAGCAAAAATGGCAAAAAAGACAAAATTTAAAGCGAAAAGAGCCAATTTTGGATTATGATGCATCATGCGCCAAAATCCAGAGAGCTTACACATGATGCGCTAGGTATGAAATTTCAAATTAAGATGATTCAAGATAAATTTTTGCGTGAATTTTAAAAGGACACTTGTTCTATACCTCGTGGAGTAATTCAATTCATCTAGACACTTTGGAAGGTTCTTTTATCAAGGGATATGACTCTTGGATCAAATGACACATCTTTTGAATTCAAAAGAGTTGACTTTAGGAAGAAACTTTTGGAGGGAATTCTTTCAAGAGGAGGCAGCCCAAATTACAGAAGATGACTTGAAGAAGCTAAGGGGACGAAAAAGGAGAGGCTTTTGGTGTGGCATGAGAGTTAGAGAGAGAGAGAAGAGGAGATTTTCTTCTAGGGTTGTAAGAGAGGGAAGGCTAAGAGAGAATTGGGAGTGATTGTAAATAAAGAAAGACTTGGAGAGAACTTATAGGGATTTGCTTGGGAAGGATTGTGAGATAAGATGATTTTTTTCTTTTGTTTTGTAAACTTGTTTTTATATATGAAATATGTGTTTTATTGTATTATTCTCATGAATTCTGAGTAGTCTTCTTTATCCTTCTCCGTACATTGAAGATATGATTTTGTGAAGAATAGATTTTGTTTTCTACGATTTTAAATAATAATAATTTGTGATGATTTGAACTTTGATCTTCATTTATTTTTTGATCTGGCCGATTGAAATGTTAAAACTTGTTGAGAATATGTTCTTAAATGAGATATGATTTCTACAACATAGAGAGAATCACATTTGATTTCATGAGAGATTATATTATCCATGAGATTGGGTGCAAATAAATGGAGAAATATACTTTGTTGGATGCAGAATTAGAGATTTTAATATGAAGATTAAAATCTCAAATTTGGTTTGGTTGATTGGAAACTAATTCGAGATTGTTAGCCCTCAGGGGAGAGAGTAGTGGGAGCTCCGGAGTGGCAACCGATATCCTCCAAGCCTAACCACAGAATTAGGGACCAAACTCTGGATTAGTCAATGTTTTTTATAGCACTCGGAAGAGGGTAAAGAATAAGATTGCCCATACTTTACACAAAACAGTTTTTATTTATATTTTCAAATGATTTCAATTTCTTCACAAACCATATACTCATTGTAAAGGGAAATGATATTTTCTTAAATTTAAACTTTTCGTCTTAACAAAAAATTTAATTTAATTTTCACAATTTTACTTTTGAAAGTTTAGTATTTAGTTTAGTTTAATTTCTGTCATCTTGTATCTGCATTTTAATTAGCATTCACCTGAATAGTAAATTTTCAAACTTCGCACTTAACTTTTATTTTTTTTTATTTTTATTATGAAATAATTTCCATAATTTACTTTAAGATTTTACAACTTCCTGTGGGATTGATATCTAGGACTCCATTAGAGTCTTTTATTACTTGAATGATATGTATACTTGCGTTGATATTTAAGAGAGATTTGATAGTTTAAAAAGAATTTTAAAGGATAAATTATATTTATAAAAAGTGTTTTGTTATGATTATATTGCATATTTATTATAAATATGTCTGCATCAAGTTTTTTGCACAGTTAAATGGTGTATAAATATTTGCATATACAAATCTTCTTGTCATAGTACATAGTCATCAACAATTCCTTAGTTACACACACATGATATATATATATATATATATATATATATAGGTATTCTAAATTTATACAAATTTTTATATTTAGCTCATTTAATATTAGATACTTATGGCAAGTGATGATGGTGCACGATAATGAAGGTGGAATTGATTCTACGTATAGTAAGGGATGGGGGTGACCTGCATTGCTCGACAAGGGTGGCCATAACATGCAATGTTTATTTAGTGTCTAGCTACAGCGATGGTGTTGGAGTAGGAGGTATTTGAGACGGAGTTCTCGCTAGCTATAGCGATTAGTGGTGGTTAGTGTTTGCTGTCAGAATTGTATGAAATGATTTTATTTTGAGAAATATTACTAAAATCTTTGCAAATACTTTAAAAAAATTTCATTTCAAGGAAAATGTAAATTAACTTATTTTAAAAATTAAATTAAATTATCAAGAACATAAAACCAAAAAGGCATGATAAAACGACATCTATTAAACTTTTTGGGTACTTGATCGACTTTAATTAGAAATATATATGCATCATTTATACCAAATATCAAATCTAAGTTCTTAATCAATAAATCAAAGTAACTTAATTTTTTTTTATTTTTTTATTTTATTATATTTTATTTTAAAATATAAATGTTTGACAAGTTCATTTAAGTTAGAAATACCTAAAAATTATTATCTTCAAAAAGAAAAATTATTTATTTTTAGAAACAAAAAATAAAACCAGTAAAAGCACACTTAATAAACATATTATTAAAAATAAAATTTGTTAACCATTTCGGCAAATTTTAAATTTAGCCTTAAGTTTTGGAAAACATAAAAATGAAATCAGTTGGTACTCCAACAACACTTTATAGTTATCAACCATAATTTCAAGAACCAAAAAAAAATGAAAAAAAAAATTTACTTCTTCACATTCTTAAATATTTTTGGTAATCCATTCAATGTAAAAACGTTGATGTATCAGTGAAGCATGAAATGACGCCCTTCTAACTAAATAGGTGATTTTCTTCTTCCCCTTATTTTGCACCACAACCCATTTTTAGTATGGATAGTTGCTCCTGTTACTAGTTTTACATCATCTGGTGATCCTTTGAGCTCAACATCAAACTTTTGTAAGATCAGAGCTAGCGCCACAGTTGATTCAAGTAGGGCAAATTGATCGCCAACACATTTGCGTTGCCCTCCACCGAATGGCAGGAAGGAGAAGTCTGCCATTACCTACCATGTTAAAGCATCACATGACTTAAAAACTATAACCCGTTCTGAATTTGGATCCGTCCAAACAAATATAATGTGGCCCCCACCACACCGGGGCCTATATAACACATATCGGATCAAATTTAAATGGTAAATCATTTTAGCATGCTACCAAAATATAGGTAATAGGAAGTGTCAAAATAGTCCCAAAATATTTACAGGGGCATTTTTAGTCCCGGAGTCTATAAATGGGTCATTTCTTTCCCCGGACTTTTTAAGTTTGGGCGAAAATAATCCATTCCTGAGACTATTTAAGCCTATATTTTAAAAAATATGGGGACTAAAGTAGCAGTTTTCTAAACTCCAGGATCAGGGGAGTATTTTAGTACTTTTCTCTAAAATTAATATTTTTTAGCCCTCTTCAAGCTCTCTCCCAACACAACCATAAGTCTAAAGGAGGCACTTTTGGCGGGATGGGAGGAGATAGGTAGAGCCAAAAATGTATGGTAAAAGCACGCAGCACTGCAGCTATTAAGGAAGCTAAGGTAGAAATAAACCTCATTGGGGTAAAATGCTCCGGGACTTCGGGTAGGATCAAACCCTTTCCATCCCCTGATGCCATCACTTGTCTTGGGAATCAGAAACCTTTCAGGTTCAAATTCATTAGGTTGATCCCAAAAATATGGCGACCTATGAAGATTGTATATCTGATAAAAAATTTCTTAGTTTAATGATAAATCAGAAGATGTTACAAAAGATAAGAAAACTACTTCTCTGGTTCAGAATAGCACGAGAATATTTCAAAAAAATAAGAATAATCAGATGGGACTGCAACATACAATGCCAATGCAGTTACATTTGGAGGAGGAAAGTGGATTCTGCCAATTTGAATAAATATAGGTTTTTCCTAAAGAAATTATATTTTTTTACAGGAGCATTTAGATATTATTTCAGATGGGCCTAACAAACGAGTAAATAAATAAAATCAGTGATCGAAGTTGAATAATTCCAAGTTTGCGTAAATTTCATTTAAATTGACGTCCCACAAGTCACAAGACAACTGCTTCTAATACAGAGATAATCTAGCAGTAAAATCGTAACAAGCAGGAAACCAGCTTAGTCTATTTCAATGGACAGAATTAGACATTCTAAAGAAGTAGAAATTGTAAAGATATATATATATATATATATCTGTGTGTGTGCGCGCCCGCGCGCTCTATTTCACTAGCAAGATTGGCTCATAAATGAAGCTAAACCAAGATGTCTCCTTTTCATTGTTTACGTGTAAATCGATTGGCTCAATGTTCCTGCACAGTAGTAAAAAAGACGAAAACAAACTTACAGAAATAAAAATATCAGTCCCAGCAGGAATTCATATCCTTCCTCATCACCTTTGTATCCTCCTGAACAAGCATGCAAGCATAATCAAATTTGGAAGAATGAAATAAGTGGAAGAGACACTTAAAATAATAATAATAATTCAAAATAGACTACTGGCCCAACCATTTAAGGTAGATAAACTGTAAGAACTAGTGATAATGATGTAAGCTCACAAAATAGGACTATCCCGACTAGTCGACAGTATGTTTTATAATGTTCATGTATGCTGAAACAATTGGTATTTCTATGCCTATTTATCAAAAACATGTGCAAAAAAAGAAAAAGAGGAAAAGTGTAAGAAATTAAATGATTATATTTTATGTGCATTCAAGTGAAATTATAAATGCCTACGGACATATATAATTATTCATTGTGTTTGATACGCTTGAACAGATTTAACTAAATGAAAGTACAAGTGAAAGTGGAATTATAAGGAGTAAAGACAATCTGAGCAAGTGAGGGTATAAATTGAAAGAGGGAGGGGGAAACGTAAAATATTGAAGTAAAATGATATGTAATATTTTATTTATGACACATATTAAGAGAAATATTTATTTTATTGCATTTGAAACATGTTTTCAGTTGTTATTAATTTTCATACTGACGGCAGTTATTAGAAATAGCAAGTGACATGTTGAGAATTTATATTATTTTACCTGAAATAAATCTTACTATTCATATGAGCAGTAATATTATTTCGTTAATTTTGAAATAAGTTATACAATTGTTTGTCAAGGTACAACTAAAGTTATTTCTTAATTTATCATTATTAGTTTCAAGAAACTTCTATCTTAACATTCTCATTTTACCCTCAACTTGATTTAATTATTTCTCAATCCTAATACCTATAATATATCCAAGATAATTCTTGCTTAATACAATTAACCTTTAATACTTCTTGAAAATCTCTTATTAGATGATACTCCTTTAGAGACTTCTTAAATTTAACCATTCAACTTCAACTCATTTATTTTTTCATTCAATTATATGATAGATCAAACTATCAAAGCCTATCACCCTCAAGGTAACAATTTTGCTTCCGTAAATATTGACTGATAATTTACCAATTTGATTATTATGAATTGCATAAAATCAAAAACATAGTATTTAATAAATATTTTAATTGAAGTTATGTTAACAAAAAAATAAATTATGTTGCTTGGATGAGTACAACAAAGGATTAAAAATTTATTATTAATGGGGCTAGAAAAATTTATGCTTAATGATGTGAGCATAAAAAAATAAAACCAAAAATATAAAATAACTTGGTTGTACAAAAGACAAACATAAATTGATATTAACACCTCATGTTGGGCTCCAAATGAATGAATGAATGAAGGGATTTTTACAAATTTAACATTAATGGATGACATAAAACTAATGATGATGAAACTCAATACAAAACTAATTTTGGGAAACTAAGGGCTTGTTTGAGATTATCTTTTTCTTTTCTTTTTAAAAACATGTTAGTATGGTGTTTTTTTATATGTTTTTATTTTTGTTTCTAAAAACAAATTAAAATGATTTTAAAAACACTCAAAAAAAAGTTAAGTGTTTTAAAAAACAACCATATCTTATTTAAACAGGCCAAACATATTTTGTTTCAAATCAAAACATAAACAAAATAAAATAAAAGCAGAAAATAAAAATAGAAGTGATCCCAAATGGTACCTAAGATTTTGCCTACGAATTACAAATGAGATGATCATACCAGGCAGTTTATCAGGTTGGAGAGAACGTCTTATCAAAAGAGGCGGTTGAGGGTACAAGCGAAGAGCTTCTGCAATGACAAGCCGAATGTACCTGAAAGGAAATGTGCCAAAATGACCTATAATAAACCAATACACTTGATGATTCTCAAAACACAACAAGATGATGAAGATAAATGAGAATAATGGATCACAAAAAGAAAAGAATTTTTCAAAACGGATTCTGAAATCAGTAGATACACAATTTCCCAGATGAACTCGATTTTTGAAAGATGAGCTAACATATTCTATTGATTACCACTAGGCTGACAAAAAATTCAACGAGAACCTGATCCCCAAGAAAGCAGTTAAGTGGACATCCTTTTTCAGTTGACTATATAGAAGATCAATATTTATAGTCTTGATTTAGGGCTACCGCACTGCAGTACAAAGAAACAGAGAGACAAGAAGGATTTGCATGAAATCACTGGTTGATAATCCACAAGCTTCTAAGCAAAACACAATTGGGGGAACCATATGGCTCAACATCTAGGCACTTGGCATGTTATCTGTTCAAATAAAAATTACAACAAATCGATGACTCCTTCAAAACTAGTGCAAACTCATTTACTTACTCCAAATTTTTAAGGCATTCAAGAGTAGTTCTCTTTTCACCAAGAACAGAATCTACCACTTCCTGTGCCTTTCTCATTTTGGATGGGTTCTGCCAGTTCAAAATTGCCAGATTTCAATATAATTCAATTCATTAAATTCAAAAGCCGGATATTTGCGAAATTGTATCTTTTAAGTGGAAATAAGCACAGCAGGAAAACCATCAATTACCTGAGCAAGAAGAAAAACAGCCCAAGTAAGAACAGCAGCAGTAGTTTCATGTCCAGCAATAAGCATAGTCATAAGATCATCCCTAAGCTGTTAAATGAATTTTTCAAATGAGACTGAAAAAAAATAATTATTCCAAAACCCATGAATCCTGATTTGCTATTCTTTTGAGACCAGTAGGCTATATTAATAAAGAAACGACTGTAAAAAACTCAAAGAACAATCAATCCAAGATTAATTTAATGAGCGAGACAGTTGAACTACTTACACTGATTCAAACTTCTTCAGATGTTTACAAGGGTGTGCATTCATGCTTATGCAGGTTTCAATCTATTTCAGTACAACAGGAATTAAGAAAAGAGTCAAAGATTTACCTGACGATCATCAACATCAGCTCCACGCATATCAACAAGAAACCTCAATAAGCTTGCATCCTGCAAATTCCATTGCATATAACACATTAATTTATATTTATGATGCTTATTTTGACATTAAATTATTATTGTTGCTGATAATTAATGCATCCTGCAAATTTCCATTGCATACAACACATTAATCTATATTTATGATGTTCATTTTGACATTAAATTATTATTTTTGTTGATAATTAATAGATACAGCCAACCTGACCTTTAGAGACGAGTAATCTCTTTTCTGAAGTTTTTCTACATCAGCTTCCTGACAAGGGCTTCAAAATCAGATCCTGGGTTAAAAAATAATAATAGGAAATCTCTTGGTTTACTACAGAATGATGCAAGAGAGATACGGCTAATAGATAACACTTATAATGAGATTCTTCACAGAACCAAAAACCATATCACTCATACAGAATCGTCAAAACCAGCTACTAGGGGCCAGCTTTAAGAATTCATCATCATTTCTTTCAAATTAGGCGAGTCATCATTGTCCTACCCATTTTCCTTCCCGCCCATACCTATGGCACTGTTGCCATTTGGCCAACTTATTTCATATTATCTATCATTTTTTATATAAAGCCAATAGTACATATAATAAATGAAACGAGTAGAACATAAAGTAATTATTAAGAATTATAGTATGACAGAAAAAACATAATATAAAAACATAGAATATGATAATAGCATAGAATAGAGTATCTATCTAATAATGAATAAATCCTCCTAACCCCCTCATAAGTCAAGAATACCAAAGTTGTTTTGTAGATTCTTGTGCTCTTGTTAAAACCTTACAAACCTTGATGAGTGAAGAAATATTTCTTTCGTATTCCTATCTCACCTACAAAGTAATATTGTGCTTCGATACTCAAGTTACAAATAACCGAAGCTCTTGAATGCTAAGAATATAGGTCACTTGCACCCTCAACAAAAGGAAGAGCATAAGCAGCTAATACAATTAGTTGATCTGGAACACGTTCTTGGTTGTGAAGTTAGCAGCTTGCACTTGGAATAAAGGCATCAACAACAAGGGAAGGCAAAAATTTAATGACAAGATCAAAAATTGGTTCATAACTTTGTATCTAAAGGTTGAATCCAAAAATATCATTCGGGTCACTGCCAAGGAATAAAGCTTTGGTAGGATGAAAGGAATGAGGGAAAATAGGAGAAAGAGAAGAAAGAGTAAGTCACAAGTAATGTTAATTCTTTGAGAATAGGTTCAATAGTCTTTTCTATGAAAATGACCCTCCTATTCATACATCATAGAGGAGTCCAATGTCCCTTCACTTAATGGAAACGTTACAATGAATTTAGGAGTCATTACACATTTACATATTTCTAACCGACTTTAACATCTTTTGACCCTGGTAATCGCTATTCGCGCAGTTCCACATCTGTAACTTCCCCTGAAACCATTTCATATTCGTAAATGCTCAACTTGGTAGTTTGGCCTTCCGTCAGTCGGGTGAAAGTCATTCTACCAAATGACAGATCTTCGGTTGACTTTTCCGAATCGTGAAGACTCATTGTTCTCATGAAGGGTTATTCCATCAGGCAGAGGGTGCATCACCGTAATAAGATAGGTGTCTTCCTTCGTATAATAAATTTTTATAGAATGTTAAGTGAAAGTTCCGCTAAGTAATCTTTGATCTTATGAATGCACTTGCATCAGCTAAGTTGTTGTCGGTCTAGGTGTCTGGTGTTCATTGGTTAGAACAAACTTTCATTCGATCAACCCATGATTCGATCAAATGAAATGACGTTATATAACTCGACCCTTTGCTGCTTTGTTCACATGATCTATTGAATCTCCTCAAGATTCGTACAGTCACATTTCCTCTGTATATATTTAGTTCTCCGATTCTATTTCTTTGAAAGTGAAAATCATCATAAGAATAGGAGAATTAAATAAAATAATTATTTATTTAATGAGTAATAAGTCCTATCAATAATTGCACTCCTTGAATTATCATGCCGCTTTTCCCTATAAACTGGGCGCAATCTGCGCTTCCATCCATTATTTCCAAAATTATCTCGCCTTTCAGTCGTTTGTCGCAGAGGATGAGGATATCGGGTGCTAAAAAACCTATGAACGAGGATGCCATGATGGGGCTTTTAGGTTCTTATTTCTAAGATTCACACTTCGAGGGGTGAAAAAAAGAGAATTGGAGAGTTCTCAACCAGTTTTGAAGAAAAAAACTACTGGGAGGCTCAATCGACTAAAAATAAAACAGGAGATGAGAAGCGGACAACTAATACCAAAGGGCCTGCCCAAGGGACCAGGTCTAATGGGTCCAATTTGATTAAAAAGATAGTGACAAAGAAGCAGAAGGTAGAGGTGATTGCAGAGTTTTTTGACTTGCTACCCCTATTAGAGGTAGGGAGTTGGACGGGAGTGTGCATCACTGATGCGTCTGTCTTGGCACTTCATCCACTACGTTAGCGACCGTCACAACTGTCACCTCCGAATGCGAGTCTACAGAGGTGGTCGCGCAAGCTCCACTGCCAGAAGGTGCCTTGCCTCAGCCTTCAGTCGACGCGACAATTCAGGGTGATGTTCCTTCGCCTATTGGGGAGAGTCTCCATACGTCGGACATAGAGAGATTGATAGGTAATTTTTCTTAATTATTTGGTTTTTCCTGTCCACTCTAGTGACCAGCTCTGATGTTGCAAACAAAATCGTGGGAATCATTGACTCCTAGCACGGAGGAGCAGGGCAATCATCCGCATCAGAGGTGTGTGTTTGACCTTCCGCCACTCCCCATGTGAAGAAAAACCCGTCCAACACATGCCTCCCACTGACCCATATCGGGAAACGGATGGTTGGAGGGCATCACAAGAATCGTTTAAATGACGCATGTGTAATAACAAATTTAATGAAAAATTTCATAAAAATTTTGACAACCTAAAATCTACCCCAAATTTCAAATCTCTCAGATTTCAATTGAATTAATTTTATAAAATTCTACGCGTCAGCGATCAATTCAATATATAAAACTATATTTAAATTATGAATGAAATGAAAATTATAAAAATCAAAAGTTATAAGTTAAATTAAATTAATTAAATCTTAATTAACCATCCCTAATTTCGGTTAATGTTTTTAAACGACCTATCCCATGCGATATATTCTTTAGATGGTGTTGAATGGGAAATCTCCATTCCATAGAATTCAAACCCTCTCCTCTCACCCTCTCAATTTTGCTCGCACGTCCGTCCCTCCCTCTCTGTCGTGCTCGACAGAAGCTCATATGAGAAGCTGCAATTGTAGCTCAGCCCGCAGAAGCGAACAGAAAGGGGCGAGCGGCCCAATGGAGTCTCACAAGTTGCAAAGTGTCGATGCCTATTTCCCCTCCTCCAATTTCTTCTTCTCACGATAGTAGCCCTCGAGTACTTGTAGCAGCACGAACTGAGAGGCTTACAAAGTGCTACAACCGGTAATGAATCCCTTATTCACGCTATACATTCACTTCTTTCCACTTGCTTCCATTTTGTGATTTGTCTCATCTTTTGTGCATTTGTTTACGATAGTTGTCGCAAAAGCCAAACTTGTGTCGGAAGTGTCGTAAGTGGTTTGTGAGTTTCCGTAGGAATTTTAGCACGAAATCAGCGAAGGGGAAAGAAGATTGAAGGGTTAAGAAGAAGAGGGAAGATATTTGGCAGCTTCGAAAAGACGGATTTGTACCGAGAAGCTGATTTAAGGTAGGAATAATGTTTTTTAGGTTAAATTACTTTATAAGCCGAAAATTTATAAAACCTTAAGATACTAACAAAATTTAGGTTGTTTACCTGAAGCGACAAGTTCAAGGCAAGTGTGTAGAAGATTGTCGTAGGAAGGCTTTTATATAACATAATCTTATGTTAATTTAAAAAAAATAATTCAATTTATGAAAATTACTTGAATTTTAAAGAATAATGTTATTGCATACAAGTTATTAAGCTCAGCATAAAAGTCACCGTAACTTCCAGCTAGTTATCAAAGAGTAAGATTTTAGAATGACAACTTAGTTGAGATTAGATTTCTAAATTTTAGTAATTTTCTTTATTTGAAATTATATGTTTGACTCTGTGTACTCTAGTTTGGTTTGATTTTTCATATTATCAGATTAGAAAAGATATGCATGACAGAAAAATATATAAAATATGCATGAGATAAATGATATGCATAATAGACATAATATGCAAGATATATATATGATAAGCATAGCATGATAGGAAACATACATGCATGATAAACATGATAAAAATAATATGTATGATATAAAATATATGCATAAGATAAAAAATTTGTATAATATGAGAGTTATGTATGATGGATAGTTATACAACAAAGTAAATATGTATATTAGTAGATGCATATGATGTCTCAGAATAATATATGCTATGAAGATTGAAATAGCCATACATGAATGCTTGTATGCACATTTCAAAGGAAGATTTCACCACCTCATGATACAAGCAGGAGAAGTGTGTGTACCCGTGCGCGTAGAGTTTTTCTACCAACCCAAATCATTATGATAGTTAAATCAATAACCGCTCTGCCGACGGGATAATATCGATCATAGTTGAGTAGAACAGAACTTACCTCCCAGACAACTGTGATGTTTACATTGCTAACTGATGTACTGATAGAATAATATCAGCCATAAAATAAACCATAAACAATTATGATGTTTATATCGCTAACAGCTGTATCGACGACGTAATATTAAACAAAGGTGTATTAGATTTTGTCGACGGTAATCCTCACAGAGACAAATGCGTATGTAAATAATATAAAGTAAAGTAAAGTAAAGATAAAGTAAATGCATATAGAAGTTTGAGTATTTTAATTTAGAAAATGTCATTAATAAATGCTTGAATATATCAGATTTCTAAGAGAAATATGAAAGATTACCATATTCTAATATTTCTTATAGAGATTAAAAAAACATCATGTATTGAATTTTTTTTCTTGGGTTACTGCAGTTTAGACGTGTTTACTCTTAGGCTATCTTTAGATAACTCATTATTCTAGTTTAATATTTTTTTCAGCTTTTAAGTATTTTGAACAACATGAATAAAGGAGCAAAATTTGTATAGAAAACAATAACAAATGAAAAAGTATAAATTTCTACTTGTTAATTTTATTTGCTTTCTTCAGTAGTTCTTATATATATTGTTTGAATATTAAACTGTTAGTAATAGAAATAAAATAAAAGAAAATTGATTTCACTGTCCGACCATTTGTTTTTGTCTTGCTTAATTCCAAGCTCCAGGTATAGATCGTGACAAAAGTTGTATCAGAGAAGAGACGAAGATCAGAACAGAGATTTAGATGAGATTTGAAGTTTAGATCAGAGCAAGAGGTTTAAATTAAATAACACAAATCTTAATGAAAGTGTTAATAAGATAATTTTTTCACAAGAAACAGACTTTGTAATCTCTTCATGCTTCATCCTCATAATATATATAATTGATGTAAAATACATGAGTTTCGAGGAAGCCATTTTATAAGGAGAGGAGATTGTAAAAGCTAATGTTTTAGAAATTTGATAAAAATATTGACGACCTAAAATGTGCCCCAAATTTTAGATCCCTCGAATTTTAATCGAATAAATTTAATAAAATTCTACCCGTCAAATTGATCAATTAAATACATAATATTATATTTAAATTATGAATGAATTGAAATTTATAAAAATTAGACGTTACAAGTTTAAATAAATTAATTAAACCTTAACTAATCAAATTCTACCGGGGTGCTTCTTTTTCCAACCCTGAAAATGATGTAAAACTAGAAGATATTGCTTCCGTAATCATGAATAATGTTCCTAACCGACCTATCCCACGCGATATATTCTCTAGATGGCATCGAATGGGGAAATCCCCATTAAAGAGCATTCAAACCCTCACATCTCCCTCTCTCAGTTTCGCTCGCACGTCCCTCCCCTCCATCTCCGTTGTACTCGGCAGAAGTTCCTATGAGGAGTTGCGATTGCAGCTCAATCCACAGACTAGAACAGAAATAGGTGAGCGCCCAGTGGAGTCGCACGAGTCGTATAGTGTTGAATCCTATTTCCCATCTTGCAATTTCTTCTTCCTGCAATAGTAGTGTCTGGCTGCTGTGTTTAATCCTATTTTTACCACTTCAAACAATTGTAATGGTTAGATCACTAACCGTTTTGCCGACGGGATAATATCAGCAATGTATGGATAGACCAAAGCTTACCTCCCTAGACAAATGTGATGTTTACATTCCTAACTGTTGTATTGATGGGATAATATTGGCTAGAAGTCAGGTAATAGCATTTCCATCCTAAACAATTGTGTTGTTTATATGGCTAAACACTATACCGACGGGGCAATATCGGGAAAGAGAGATTTTATTGACGGTAAACCTCACAATATAAAGTAAAAATAAAGTAAATGCATATAAAAAATTAAGAATTTTCATTTAGAAAAAGTCAATGATACATTCATTAGCATATTCTCATATTTCTTAGAAAAATATGAAAGATTAGTAAATTCCAATACTTCTTATAGAGATATAAGAGATCAGCATGCATATTGAATTTTTTTCATTGGGTTACTGTAGTTTAGTAATGTGAAACATTTGGGTTATCTTTAGATAACTCATTACATTGTTTTATATTATTTTTAGGTTTTAAGCAATTAAAAAAGATGAATAGAAGAGCAAATAAGTATAGAAAACAAGAACAACAAATAGAAAAATACAAATTTGTACTTGTTAATTTTAATTGATTTCTTTAGTGGCTCTTCAAGTTTATATTTGAATATTAAACTGTTAGTAGTACAAATAGAATAGAAGAGAACTAATTTTCATCGTCCGACCGTCAGTTGTCATTTTGGTTGCTTCCAAGGCCTGGACTGGGTCATGACAGCATTGACGAGACCGTGTACTCCTTTTGCCCGGGTAGTAGGCCTTCAGAGGGAGACTGTCATATGGGATTTGAGGGCAGAGTTAGCAGTCTTCTATGCAGATATGGAGACCCTCCTGACAAAAATGGCAAGTCTTCAGGGCGAGCTGGCGGAAATCTGAGTGGATAGTTTGATCTCCCATGTCCTGGTGGAGGAAGAGAGGATAGAAAAATACAAGCTTGGTGGGTGTGTGTTGTACTTTAATTTGGTGAGTTGGGTTTTGGTGTTGCTCAAATCGGAGGACTACCAAGCAGTAAATTAGTTTTTATTATATATAAAATTTTAACTTCTGCCCAATTTCAAAAAAATTTAATCGTGCATCCTCTATTTTTGCACCGCAGTGATGTATTTTTCAAATTCCAATGTAAGCATTTGGGACGTTTTGACTTCCTAGTGCGTCCTATATATATGGTTGAGCAGAGATTTTGTAAAAACTTTTCATTTTTCACTTTTCATTCCTTAGGATTGGTTTCGCTAAGAGCTTGATGGCTTCTAAAAATATTCCTCACATGTTTGGTTCAATAAGGTCGACTGGAAGAGTGCGGAAGTCCGAACTACCAATTAAGTGTGAGACTAACTGATCTTTTATCAGGACGACTCTTGGTGGGGGCTACTGCTACCCCTTTGCACAGAGCTTTGGTCGGTTTTCAACCACTATAAAGTGACCTTGACCTAGATTAAGCTGAATTATATCGCTACAGTCATGACTTATGTGATTTATTGGCGCAGTGGATGTCTCATTGTCTCAAGGGTTCTTTTCCCACATGTTCTCCTTTAGGGTGGAATCGGCTGCAGACATCGTCTTTGGCTCAACTTGGATGATTCATCTGATCGATTTTGAAAACAATATAAAGAATTGGAAGCTTTAGTCTTTTAGGGGCAGTTGCGAGAGTTGGGGCAATGTGACTAGGGTGATCGGTGGCCCGTACAAGAAGGGATTCCACCTCGGCTTAAAGCATTTGAATCGGATGTCCTGAACAAGTAGTTTTCTGTCATTCAATACACCGACCCCCAAATTGTCAATTAGGTACTGAACCCGAGCAAAAATTCTCCGATGACCCTAAAGATGTGGGCCGCTGATGAGGCAGGTGGATAAGGCTGTCAAACTTTCAAGTCTTAATGCGACCCAACGTCAGAATGTTTCATGTGGTCATCTTTCTTTATTGCGACCAAACATCAAAATATTTTGTGTGATCGTCTTTCTTTTAACGTGATCAAGCATAGGAACACTTCTTTTGGTCATCTTTTTTGATAATCCAGTTCCCAGAGTCTTGCTTAATTTGAAATCTATCAATCTTTCAATTTCCCACGCGTTGTTTTAATTCAAAGGTTATAATACCACAATTGGTTGTTTGCAATAAAGCATAAAATTATATGAAGTAAGATTATTTTTCTCAAACAGAGGTACAAAGTAGTTTCTTTCAAGGAAAACACTTTTTAAGATCATCTTCACTTAATGTTCGGTAAATCATTGTCCAAGTATATAATTTCAGCTTGTAAGCACCTAGGGCGACTTATTGGTCAATAATGAATGGACCGGTCCAAGTTTGGTCGAGCTTGCCGACCATCTATCCGCTCGCGACTGGATCTACTTTCTTTAGAATTAAGTCGTCGGGTGAGAATGTCCTTTCTCGGACACTTTTGTTGTAGTATCGAGAAGTTCTTCTTTTTATCTCTTTCTGTCAGAGTACCGTATTAGTTTGAACTTCTTATAGTAGATCAAGGGCGAGCGTCACTCCTTCACTATTTGCGTTCTGCCAGTCGGTAAGATTCTCTTCGTCGAAAGATGTTGCAGTGACGACTCTCTGGATATGAAGATTGTATTCAATTTGCAACATCGCTCCATTCCATGAGAAAGCATATAAGGTATTTGCTCTGTCGCTGATAATGGAGTGGTTCGGACAACCCAAAACACAAATGAGAGTAAATCTACCTAGTTTCCTTTAGCACATTTGACCTTATTCCGTAGAAGATTTAGGATGATATTGTTTGCCGCCTTCGCTTGTTCGAGGGTGATTTAGGGACGTTAATTTAAGGTGATTCCTTGACTTTGAAAGAAGTATCTCATCACCTCACAGGCGAATTGAGACCCATTATCAATTATCAGTATTAAAGGTAAGTCATACCGAAAGATAATGTCTATCCAGATGAAATTCCAAGCAACTTCTGCAGTAATTCGGTGAGAGTTTTAGCTTTTACCATTTGGGAAAATAATCTACGCCAACTAAGAGAAATTTTCACTGCCCCTTCGAGGAAGGAAATGGCGACTAAGAGAAATTTTGGCTGCCCCTTCGAGGAAGGAAACGACCTAAGGATGTTGAGCCCCCAAATAGCCAATGGTTGAGGAATAACTATTAGTTTCAATTTTTGGGCAAATTGGTGCTAAAATCAGACTTACTTATGACACTGCTCGAACCCTCGAGAAAATTCTCTGCATCTTTCATGAGGGTTGGAGAGAAGTAACCTTGTCTCTGGACACAATGTGCTAAGGTCTTTACACGAAAGTGGTTGTCATATTCGCTAGGATGCACCTCAGAAAGATTACTTCCATCTGATTTTTTTCACACACCTCAAGAGAAATGAAATGGTTGACCTTCAAAAAAGTGCCTCCGACAAAGACGTACTAGGCGGCTTTAAACTTGTACCGCCAAGGATCTCTTACTTCCTCGAGGATATTTCCCGTTATTAGGTAATGGACGTAGCAATCCATCCAACATTTTATATCCTAAGCTTCCACTTCCATTGCCTTTAGCTCTTCAATGGCCGGTCAAAAAAGCCTTCATGGCATCTTTCTCCAAAGCATGTTCATTGATAGAAGATTAGCCACTTGGATTTCTTCCCATCCAACATGCTCGATTCAGAAGCTCGTAAACTTTCATATCTCCGTCTTTGCCTTGTTCAAATATTTGACAATCATCTCGTCCCGAACCTCGAATTCTCTATCGATTTCGTTGACAGCAAGTTAAGAATCAGACTTAAAAACAAGATGTCGGATGCCCATTTCAGTGGCTAACCGTAGTTCAGTTATTAGCACTTCATATTCCGTTTGATTATTTGTAAGCTCAAAATCAAGGGTGACTAACTGATAGAGATGCTTCCCAATCTGACTGCATGGAGCCATTTTAATTCCCGCACTTGTTTGGCTGGAGGCTCCATCCACGTATAGAATCCAGATTTGTTCGCCAGTTTTGGCTCCTTCGATGGATTGGAGAAGTCGACTAGGAATTAGACTACAGCTTGAGTCTTAATCGTCGTTCGGGGGATGTAACTGATGTTGTACTTACCAAGTTCCGCAACTCACTTCAGGGCCTTCGGGAGTGTACCAGACGAGTGAGTACAGACTTAAGCGAATGATCGGTAATTTGATGGGATGTGTTTGACAATACAGCCCGAGCCTGCGAGCAAAGATAATCAAAGCAAATGTTAGTTTCTCCATAATTAGATACCTGACCTCGGCTCCCCTAAGAACCCACCTGGTGTAGTAGACCAAGAATTGTTTCTCCAGCTTCACTCGAACTAAAACCAAACTAATGGTTTCTAGCCCGATTCCCAAATACACCGAGAGTTCCTCCTTATGCTTTGGACTTTGCAGCAACGAAGGGGAGACTAGTGACTGCTTCAGACTATGGAAGGCTTGCTCGCATTCGGTCGGCCATTTAAATTTCTTGGCTTTCCTTAATACCTTGAAAGAAGCAATGCTTTTGTCACCTGATTTGGAAATGAATCTACTAAGTGTTGTTATTCGGCCAGTCAGCATCCGCACCTCCTTGGTACTTTGGGGGGAGGGCATATCCAAAAGTGCATTTACTTACTCAGGATTAACTTTTATACCTTCGAGTGATAAGGTACCCTAAGAACTTCCAAGTGAAGCTCCAAAATAACATTTTAACAGGTATAAGTTTATATTATATTTCCTGAGAGCCTGATGATTTTTTTCCATCACTATATATTGTTTGGATGACCTACTTTTAACTAGAATATCATCAACATAGACCTCAGTAATTTTTTTCTTTTTTGTTTAGAAAATATTTTATCCATAAATTGATGTAAAATAGCGCCAGTGTTTTTCAACCCAAAGGGCATTATAGTAAAACAGTACAATACTTCGCTCATAATAAAAGTGATCATTTCAACATCGATCGGGTGCATCTTGATTTAGTGATAACCTGAGAAGACATCCAAAAAACTCATGAAAGAATGTCCGACTGCAGAGTCCACGAGCGAATCGATCCTCGGCAAGGGGTAACTATTCTTGAGGTAAGCTGCGTTTAGATTCGTGAAGTCCACGCACATTCTCCACTTGTCATTAGACTTCTGCACCATAACTACATTAGACATCCATGAGGGGTATTACACCTCCCAGACGAAGCCCGTCTCGTTAAGCTTCTGTACTTCCTCACAAATCGGCCCAACCAATGTCATGTCTGATTGCAGAATCTTCTGTTTCACAAATTGGGCGGATGAGCTGACATTGAGTCAATGATAAGTCACATTTATGGGTTGTCTGGCATCTCAACAGCCAAACAGACAGACATTGCAATTCTCCTGAAGAGTTCGAATCAACAATTCTTTGTGATCTACATCAAAAGTTTCACTAATTACAAAAATTATACAAGGCTTGTCGAGGTATGCAGAGATCTCGATGGTGGCCTCGTTGGTTTCAAGACTCCCTTCCCATTGTTGTTGTATGTCCAACGTCCCTTGTTTCATGCTCCCTGTCGCCCGGAGGTAACACGTCCCGGACTGCTCCAGATTCCCACGCAAGGTCACAATTTCCCCGTCGCTGGAAAATTTCACAGATAAGTGGTACGTAGATACCAAGGCTCTGAAATTGTTAAGGAGCAGACAACCAAAAATCACGTTATACGTTGGCGGTGCATCACCCACCAAGAAATCCTCAATATTGGTGAACTTGTTGTCTCCCTCTCCCCAGGTGACAGATAGTCTGATTATTCCAAAGCTGACTTCCTTTGGCCAGAAAACACATACAGATGGTTAGTCGGTGAAGCTAAACGATTGATTGACTGGTTCTTCTTGTCGAAAGCGGCTTTGAACAGGATGTTCCCCGAGCTTCCTATGTCAACCAGAATACTACCCATCTGGTAGTTGTTAATCATCGTCGTAATGACCACGACGTCGTTGTAAGGATTCCCTGCAAGGGTAAGTCAATGCCAATAAAAATGATCGAGGGATGGGGCTTCCTCTTCGAGAGAGAAGCAATAACACAGTACTTTCCTGATCGGCTCCTCTTTTGGTCGAGTCTTCTGACCGAGTCTCCTCCCAATATTGCTGTACTATCCGAGCGATGCAGAGCATTGGCTCAAACAGGTCCATCCAAGTTATCTTCCGCATGTCTCTTCCTCTTTTGCCGAGTGTGCTTTGGGAGTCATGAACTCAAGGCTTTCCAGCCTGAATTAACCCTTTGACAAAGCTACGAAGATGCTGACACTCTTTCACTCTTTCGTATTGTCGTCGTGATCTTTATGGTACTTGCAGAACTTGTTGGTGCTCCGAAGGAAGGCTCCGATTATCATCGACGGGGCCTTTCGAAAGTATTCCTTGTTTGCTCTAAATAACTTCCACTAGTTCTATCATCGAAACCCTTAGATGTGTTGGTCTCGGATTCCTCAATCTCCAGTTAAGCGATCATTTGATCAGCTTCATTTTTGTGTGTTTCGATCGGCCTCCCAATCGCTGCGGGACGGCGGACAACTTTCATGCTTAGGGCAAGGGTCATCTTTCTCCCTCCACCCATTGTCCCGTGAGCCTTTCTTGTACCATTGAGAGTTAGAATTTTTTGCCTTTTGAGACAGGCGGGTTCACGTACTTCTCTGCTGCAATGTGGTCTTTGGCCAACTCCAAGAGGTTGGCCAAAGTTTCACATTTTTGCAAACCCTAGAATTGCTTGAGTTACGCACTCTTCAGCCCTTGCGCAAGGGCAGTTTTCACTATCGCCTGCTCCAAATTCCGCACTTTGAGCATCTCCTTCTGGAACCGTATAACGTACTCTTATAGGCTTTCAATTAGTCCTAGCTTGATGCGCCACAAGTATTCTGAATCTGTATGGAGTTTAGGTCGACAGCGAACAGCGCCGTAAACGACTTTTTGAATCCGAAAATTTAATAAATCCAACCGGGAATTAAATGAACCACCAGAGAGACGAATCTCTGAAGGTGGTGTAAAACAATCAGCACTTCAACATGTCAAAAAGATTGAGAAGGCTGATTGATGATTGCTTCAGGCTTTGTATGACTCTAGAGATGAAACCTTGAAATTTTTGGGGGACTCTACATCAACGATATACCAAAAGAACACAAAATCCAATCGACGGTACATTTCTAGTCGCCCCGCTTATGGTTTGCTTCTTAGCATGGATCCAACAGTATCTTGGTGTCAGGATTCTTTCACCCGTTCGGCTCCTTGAACTGTCGGTGTCCTTGGGGCTCGGGTGTTGGAGGATTAGGTTGTGGGAGAGGGTGTGCTCTTCCCTTAAGCACCACGCGTGTCAGTTCTGCAATCTAACCCGCCATTTGAACCTGGAACTCCAAATTCAATGTTGACCGAATTCTCTGACGGATTCAATGTTAGAGATTTTTCCTAAGTATATTCCTTCTCCGTGATGCGCTCCTCTTCTTATTGAAATCATGATTCCACGCTCATCACACCATTTAGGATTTTAAATTCCAAAATATCATACACAAGAAATAAAGTGTTGGTCAGATGAGAAAAATGAGGGAAAGGCGGAGAAAAAAAATGACTAAGTCACTGCTGACCTCATATTTGGGTAAGGTCTTCACTTTCTCCTTAGAGCCTAGGTTCTAGCTTTAGGCTTCCCTTGTTTAACCCTCTTAGAGGACTAGTATCGAACCCACACCATTTAGAAAATTCGAGCCACCTCGTCACTATTCAATTCCCCACAATTGCTTCACGTGACGGCTCGATCTCGCTGCATCGATTAATTCGACTCTCCCGCTCGCCTCATCCGCTCCTCTGTTTGGCACCCGCTCCTCTTTTGCGAACTCGACCGAACATCCACGCTAGCCTTCTTCTGATTTAACCTCCCCTGCTCCTCTCGCGGTTGCTTCTCGCGCACGACCGAGCCCCTGCTCCCTTCTCTCGCGCCTGCTCCTCCTCCGCTCAATCCCGCTCACCCAACGATCTACAATTCCTCTCTCCCGCTCAACAGCTCGTCTCTTTGGTCCGCCTTTCTCCTCGCACACGACCTAGTCCCGCTCGCTGCTTCCTCGCCCGGCAGAATCAACTCCTCCGCTCGATCACGCTCTCCCTCTACGCTTCGTGCTCCTCTCTCTCGCTCGATAGCTCCTCTCTCGAACCGCCTTCGTTCTCTCAGCACCAAAACACCCGACTCCCTTTCCATAAATCGTCGCTCGACTCCCTCCCCTGATTAAAACTCCTGCTCACCTCCATCGGCTCCCCATTCTCGACCGAAGCACCCTCACACTCACCACCTCACACAGAAGCTTTTTCGACATCCTCTACCGCACTCCCAAGTTTGTGCCACTTATTGATAAGTCTTATCCTGAATCTAATAATCAGCTGACTTTTTAAGATATTCCTTCGTATAGATTAAACTCATCATTACCATTAGCCCTATGATAATTGCTTTGATTAGTTTAATGAGCTTCACTTACCTTTGAAATTTAAACGTGGACTTTTTTTTATAAAGAAAAGATGATGGATTAAAACGTGATTAGCACAGTTAGAGAGTTTCTTGCTATGTGAGCTAGCTATTCACAGTTTTACATCATCATGAATGAGGAATTATTTTGTGGGTAAAAAGTTGTTATACAAAAGTGTTATTCATGATTATTTTATGCAAAGCTGAAAAGAACGTTAATTAACACAAAAAATCCTGGATTAACTTAAACACTAAATCTAACTATAGTTTGCAGAAGTTGGAGTCTACGGCTGAGCTAGCATTCAATCGTTGGATTCATTTTTAATTGTAAATGCACTCTTACTTCACAATTACATGCACAAAATTGCTTTGAAAAGATTGAACATTTAAATGAGCACCTGCTTCAAGTTGTATCCAATTGTTAAAGGTTATAATTAGTTTATGCTTATTTGGGAATCATCAATTAATTTTCTTTCTTTTGCTTCATGATTTGGATATTTTGAGAAACAATGCAGCTAGTTGTACACTATTTTATGATTTTTAGATTTGGGAAGTTGTTGCAACTTTGCGTTATTTTGCTTGTTAGACTTGAGGAAAGTTTACATGCACGCCACACAATTCTTACATTTTCTGCATGTCCAAAATTTAAACCTTACATCTACACCACCCAAATCCTTAATTTTACAAAAGAAGTACCTCTGTTTCTTAACATGAACATCTTTTCATGCTTAGAATTTATTCACTTCTTTGGGGGTTGTTATACTTGCGGTTTGGAGCCTTAAAATGCACCTTGTTTGGAGATGTTTTGAGACTGGTTACGCTGCAGTTTTAGATTTAGGACTGTTTTGGGGCCCTGGAAACTTGCTAGTCGTTGTCCGAAGCCATAGGAAGTGGTAGGACCACTATCCAGAGTTCTTAGCTGCTGTTTGGATTTGTAGGAAGCCATACAAACGTTGTGTAATGTTGCATATTGCTGTTTGAATTCATAGGAAGTCGTAGGAGCCCTGTATGGAGTTCCTATTTGTTGTTTGGATTTGTAGGAAGCCATACAAATATTGTCTAGTGTTGCATATTGTTGTTTGGATTCGTAGAAGTCGTAGGAGCCCTGTCCAGAGTTCCTAGTTGCTATTTGGATTCGTAGGAAGTCATACAAATATTGTGTAGTATTGCATATTGCTGTTTTGATTCATAAGAAGTCATACAAATGTTGTATAGTGTTGCATATTGCTGTTTGGATTCATTGGAAGCCATAAAAATATCGTACAAACTTGTTAGTTGCTGCCCGGAGCCGTAGGAGGTCGTAAGATCACCGTACAAGCTTGCTAGTCACTGCCCAGAGTCGTAGGAGGTCGTAGGATCACCATACAAAATTGTTAGTCTGCCCGGAGCTGAATGAGGTAGTAGGATCACCGCGCATGCTTGCTAGTTGCTGCCCGGAGTCGTAGGAAGACTTCGGATCACCGTTGGGAGTTCCTAGCTGCTGTCCGGAGTTGTAGGAAGCCTTAGGATCACCTGTTTGGAGTTTATGGCTGCTGTTATGACTTGTTCTGCTGCTTTTTATACTAGAATTATTGTTTTTTTTTTATTTTTTTCTCTACAATTTATTTAAATCCCCTACAAATTATGTTATATTTTGTGAGATAAAGACACAGCAGCGAAAATAACAGCAGATACGTCAAGTACA